AAAAAATCCTAGTACATAAAGTGACACTTGTAGACTTAGTTGCTAGACAACCATGTTGTGCCTCGTAGCAAATTACATTACTCCCTGCAGGCCTATACTTAGTCCTTAGCAAACCATGTTTCACCTAGTAGGCCTATAGTTTCTATCAAACCACTTTCTTCGTAGACCTATACAGTACTTAGTTCCTGGCAAACCACGTTCTGTAGGCCTATACTCATTTCCTGATAAATCATATTCCCTATAGGCCTATACTTAGCTCCTAGCAAACCACATAGTCCGCCAGTGACACACAGTTAGCCCATTTTGAATTACATTCCAAAAATATTTTATGATTAGTAGTAAAATTCACCACAATTTTTATTAGTGCAAAGAATTGCTTTTAGTGGTTAGATTCCAACACTAGAAATTTCAATAGGCACCACAACGTCCTTTTCAATATTTATTTTATTTAGTGTGCTCTATACTTTCAGTTTTTCCATTTAGCTTGTTTCATTTGTCTTCGTAGACTAAAGCACTACTAAAATATAACGAAAGCGCGTCTTGGTATCGCTTGAAAGCTAAAAAAAAAAGTTTATATATGACCAAGATGTTGTTATTTGGGTGAGAAACTCACGCTAACTAACTCTGCGTCGTCTCCTGGGTCCTCCGTCCTCCCGCCAGCGGCATCACCGATCAACCAAACTACTGAATGATATTTTATGTGGGTTTTTATTTCCCATCGGATTTGTTCTTCTGTATCGTCGCCGCGTTCACAACGTCCCACAACAGGTGAATGATTTTCCACTGTTCTTGAATATAATCCATCAATCATAACAATAACTACACAATAATATCAATCACCTAATTAAACTTTAGCCAGATTTTAGTTAATAAATACATAAATATAATTCTAAATAAATAATTTCCATTGTCATAATATCTGGTCTCAAGTGTTCATTGTCCTTAATTCCATTATCGCCATTCATAACCGGTTTTTACTGTAGTTTCACTATCTTCACTACTACCCATATATCCTCTCGTCACCATCACCATAACTGCCTTAAACATCACCAGTCACCGTCACCACACTGTCTCCATTAATATCAATACCGTAATATTACCCTCACAAACGCCACTACCAGATCATTTTACAACCACCAGATCATAATACAACCCTAAGTTCACCATTATACCACCACCATTTCACTATAATACCACCACCAGTTCACTATAATACCACCACCAGTTCACTATAATACCACCACCAGTTCACTATAATACCACCACCAGTTCACTATAATACCATCACCAGTTCACTATAATACCACCACCAGTTCACTATAATACAACTCCCACTTCAATATAATACCACCACCAGTTCACTATAATACCACCACCAGTTCACTATAATACCACCACCAGTTCACTATAATACCACCACCAGTTCACTATAATACCATCACCAGTTCACTATAATACCACCACCAGTTCACTATAATACCACCACCAGTTCACTAAAATACCACCACCAGTTCACTATAATACAACTACCACTTCACTATAATAACACCACCAGTTCACTATAATACCACCACTAGTTCACTATAATACCACCACCAGTTCACTATAATACCATCACCAGTTCACTATAATACCACCACCAGTTCACTATAATACCACCACCAGTTCACTATAATACCACCACCAGTTCACTATAATACCACCACCAGTTCACTATAATACAACTCCCACTTCACTATAATACCACCACCAGTTCACTATAATACCATCACCAGTTCACTATAATACAACTCCCACTTCACTATAATACCACCACCAGTTCACTATAATACCACCACCAGTTCACTATAATACCACCACCAGTTCACTATAATACCACCACCAGTTCCCTATAATACCATCACCAGTTCACTATAATACCACCACCAGTTCACTATAATACCACCACCAGTTCACTATAATACCACCACCAGTTCACTATAATACCACCACCAGTTCACTATAATACCACCACCAGTTCACTATAATACCACCATCACATACTCACAGTTCACTATAATACCACACAGTTCACTATAATACCACCACCAGTTCACTATAATACACACCTTCACTATAATACCACCACCAGTTCACTATAATACAACTCCCACTTCACTATAATACCACCACCAGTTCACTATAATACCACCACCAGTTCACTATAATACCACCACCAGTTCACTATAATACCACCACCAGTTCACTATAATACAACTCCCAGTTCACTATAATACCACCACCAGTTCACTATAATACCACCACCAGTTCACTATAATACCACCACAGATATAATACAACTCCATTCATATATACACCACCAGTTCACTATAATACCACCCAGTTCACTATAATACCACACCAGTTCACTATAATACCACCACCAGTTCACTATAATACAACACCAGTTCACTATAATACCACTCACCAGTTCACTATAATACAACTCCCACTTCACTATAATACCACCACCAGTTCACTATAATACAACCCCACTTCACTATAATACCACACCAGTTCACTATAATACACACCAGTTCACTATAATACCACCACCAGTTCACTATAAATACCACCACCAGTTCACTATAATACCACACCAGTTCACTATAATCCACCACAGTTCACTATAATACAACTCCCAGTTCACTATAATACACCACCAGTTCACTATAATACCACACCAGTTCACTATAATACCATCACCAGTTCACTATAATACCACCACCAGTTCACTATAATACCACCACCAGTTCACTATAATACAACTCCCAGTTCACTATAATACAACTCCCAGTTCACTATAATACCACCACCAGTTCACTATAATTCAACTCCCACTTCACTATAATACCACCACCAGTTCACTATAATACCACCACCAGTTCACTATAATACCATCACCAGTTCACTATAATACCATCACCAGTTCACTATAATACCACCACCAGTTCACTGTAATACCACCATCAGTTCACTATAATACCACCACCAGTTCACTATAATACCATCACCAGTTCACTATAATACCACTACCAGTTCACCATAATACCATCACAATCTTCTCCAGCTTATGTTGCAACTCTGTCTCACTATATTCATAATTATTGTAGCTTTTATTTCTCTTTCAGCTACTAATGGTGTATACAGCATAACCATTGTTTATGTGCAATTATTTTTAATTTAATTTGACCATTTATCTTAATTTATAATTTATTTTAGACTTACGCTTTATTTAACAATTGCATGGCAACTTCCCTGGGGCTTACCTTATTAATTTGTAAAAAATATAAAGCTATATTTTATTGCTTTAACTTAATTAATAAAAAATAAGGCCATTGACAACATCTAAAATGATCCTTCCAGTAGCTTAGTATTGAAGCAAATTTATTATAGGCACAATGGAGCCCATATTGATGTATGAAAACAAAATTAATATGTGTTGCGTATTTCGTCCATACACTGGTGCCTTTTTCGGCAGCCTGTATGAGGTCCAAATATGTTATATTAATTATATATTTTGTTTTATTGTCACCATGTGGGCTCTTCTGTGTTATTGATAAGTGTTGATCACATTTGAGTGCTTAGCTCTCATAACTAACTAGTTAAAAGGTGTCGAACAACTACTGCCCTACCAGCACTGTCAGGAGCCAACGAGAGAGCAGATGACTTGACCTACACCAGGGAACACGGGAGACGCTTTCTGGTGAGTGTTGCTTCTGTTGGAGTCTGTTCTGACCTGGCTGGGCTTGACTTCTGACCTGGTTGGGCCTGATATCTGACCTGGCTTGTCACAGTCTGCCACAGCCTGCGTTACAACAGACTCCACTGTACTTTGGTTACAAGTGATTGTGATATTTGAAACAGGATGGACAAGGATAATAGGCAGGACATCAGTATTAGGAAAATTGAAAAAAATCTTCATAAGATGGACGTACTTTGAAATAATTTTATTTGCAGTATGATAGAAAGAATGAGGAAAGGGTGGCACTTTAATTGTATGAGACAGGCACAAAACATAAAAAAAAATGAGTTACTAGATGGACGCAAAACAAGAAACAAATCACAAAAATAACGGAATAAATGAAGGTTAACTTATAAGGCAGAAAATTTAAGATAGTTTACCTTTAAAACAAAGTTATATAAATTCTAAGTAGGGAAATTAATTTATATTACGTAGATTCTAAGTTGAGATTCAAGTTTGAAGCCAAAAATAAAATAGTAAAAATGTGCATACTTTTAGTCACTTATTTTACCACAGAAAACAGTTTGAGGTGATGTAAAAGTCGAAATTTTCTTCGAGAAAATTGAACCAGTCTGGAAGATTATTTAAAAGATGAAGAAAATCGGGGAATATTCATTTAGAGGATTAACAAAAACGAAGGTAAAATAAAACCAAAGTATACGTAAAAAAAAAGGGGGGGAATTATTTTTGAAGCATTTCACGGTATGTAAATTTTAAATTATGTATAATTACATAGATTATTAATAATCACTTCATATGTTTTGTATAAATTACATATAACGCATTTTATGAATAGCTAAACCCTTGTGGGTGATTGAGTGCAAGGTAAATGCGTGGGAATATTTAAGGATGGGTAGGACATATACATGCATGGGAATGGCTGGGTGAGTTAAAACTGTCTTAAGACAGTAGGCCTATCATGGTATTCATTTTTCTAGTGTTCTTGATAAAGGGAAGGGAATCGGACCGTTCTCGCTTGGGCCAATAGGCCTATCATGTGGTCTCTCCTTAGATTGCTTATTCCTTACAATCAGCATTCCCCAAAACAGTTTTACAGCGCTGAGAATTTTAAGAGTCCAATACAAATTTCGTCTTGGCTTTAAGACTAGAGTGAAGCTAAATATAGCTCGGTGGGTATGAGAGCACATGCGTGGCTGGGAGCCATAAATGGTACAGTGGGCAGGCTGGCTACAACCCTCTCAGTAGTTCCCTGACCTTGCTGCCGCCACCTCATGCTGCCTTCTCCGCCAAGTCAAAAAAATCAGAAAAAAAGTGTTTTTGCGAGTTTGAAGTTGGCGCCGCGGAGGAGGTTCGGCTTGGTGCCACCGGTGGCGCTGGCGTCGCCACTACTGACTGAGTGTAAACACTAACATGGACACCAGCCAGCCTAGTGACACTTGTAGCTCTCATTCCTCCCCGTCACCTAGTGTTAATACCATGCAAAATGGAATTGCTAGCCCCTCGGGTGATTCAGAAGATGCGGAAGAAATGGAAAGTGTGGATAACGGTGGTGTAAATAGGACAGTGATGCCAGTGAGTAGTGTGAGTGTTACATCAGCTGACTCGGATATCAATGCCAACTTAGCTCTTACTGTCCAAAGTGATGCAGATGTTGATAAAGAACTGGAAGAACTTGCTAAACTTAGGTGCCAGAGTGTAGCCACGGAGGTGGTAGCCGCCAGATATAAGCGGAGATGCTCAGACTATCCAGGCTTTGCCTTCGGTTCTTCCATATTTAGTTCTAATACGATGATGAAGTTCAGCATTATTAAGAATGAACTTCACAACATAATGAATGTGCAGTTGAAAAGGGTTAGTATAGCAGTGCTTCATGAAGGTGATGGTAACTCTGGCTGGGGCTGTGATAGGCCTACCCGACACTTGCCACACCCACCACACTTCATTACAAATCTTTATTATTTGATATCAGGATTGTCAAGTTGCTTTCAGAAAACCACATTGTCAATTAGTCTCGAGATATTTTGATATTAGTTGTAATTGGCTTAAATATGTTGGGAGTTGACATATGGCAATTGTCTGGTTAAGGCAGCCACAGCCCCTCACACTTGCCACACCCATTTATTTTTACAGTGAATTATTTTTATTTAGTTAAACTATGTGCTGGTAATTACTGAACATACAGATCATTCGTATTTTATGTTTAATAAATTCATAGTTTTTATAGATGCATAAAAGTACCAAAAGTTACTACAACATATAACCATCCTTATGGTATTAACAGGTCAGTAGTTACTATTAACATAACATAAAGAACACTGCAACAGGCCTACTGGCCTATGTGAGGCTATGCTACACATAGCCTGTATGTACATACAAGTTAAAACTGAACTAAAGCTGTCAGACTGAATGTTTAATGTGCTTCAGCTTGCTAATGGCATTACAATATTCCCACTCAAACATGAGAACTTTCATACACACTTCAGTAAAAATAAAGGAGAACCAATATTAATGAAGAATATTAGAAATAAAAAGTCGCTTCGTATGCGAGATGTATACACAAAATACACAACGATGATTTATTTCTAAGCTCAACATACTGTATATTACTGTAGCAACTTACAACAAAAATATTTACATTCATTTGGCTGAATTTCACACAAACTTGTCAGTATTAATATATTTACTGTGTTTAATTATATTTAATTATTATTTTGAAAGTACAAACTCTGATAGTTGACTCTTCAAGTACCTGAGATCCCTTCAAGAAGCTAGTAATACTGTATAAGAATATTGAATGTTTTCAAGCTTCTCAATGCATCCCACCTCAGAGTATTACAAAGCATGGTGGCTGGTATGTTAATTCTGCACCTAATTGCATTTCAGTTTTCAAATATTTTTACTCCAGATTATAGCTGATGCAGAATAAATATAGCTCAAATAAATTTATTCTTAAACTGAAATCGTGTATTCTTGTGATATATAATTATATATGCATAAACACACACACACACACACACACACACACACACACACACACACACGAGTCTGATTAAATAATTAATTAACTTAATATTGGAAACTCGGCTGGTATGCAAAAATGGAAGCCATGACGGCGGAAGTATAAGCAAAGGTGGAATCTGTTTCCTGGAACCCGGCCCCACCCATTCGCCACCCAACCACATATCTACCCCATCCAGCCACATCTACCCTACCTAGCTACATATCTACTCCACGCAGCTACATAACCCCACCCAGCCACATATCTACCCTTCCCAGATACATATTTACACTTTCAGTAACATACCTAGTCTCTCAGCCATATTTATGCCCTTTGTCACATTACCACTCCAACCACCCAGCTGTTCCATGAAGAATTAGACATGTGCAACATCTGGATATCTTTATTGTAGACGTTTCACCATCCAGTGGCTTTATCAGTACAAAGTCAAGGACAGAACTTGGAAGACAGTAGAACTATATACAAAAGACGAGCACTATAGTGCTCTTCAAATGAAGGCTGAGGGACTCATCTTTTGTATATAGTTCTACTGTCTTCCCATTATGTCCTTGAATTTGTATTGATGAAGCCACTGTATGATGAAACGTCTACAATAAAGATACCCAGATGTTGCACTTGTCTAATTCCTCATCTTGTCGGTATTGTATGCCATACATATACATTATTATAATTAAAAGGAAGCGCTAAACCTACCCATACATGTACAGCTGTTCCATCTTTGATACAAATAGACTCTCTGCATGTCACTCCAACTATTTTATTTAAAGCTATTCTTAACCCTAGAGGGGTATCTCTAGAAATAGTCTGCATACGTTATACCAGGGTACGCTATAGCTAGAATATCTGTAGTCTACCTGGAGTGTGTTTCGAGGGGGTCAACGCCCACATGACCCGGTCTCAGACCACGCCTCCGGTGGATAACCTGAACAACCAGGCTGTTGGTGCTGGCAACACAGTCAGATGTAAACACCACAACCTGGTTGATCAGACACTAAGGTCTAGAGTTATTAAAATATAAACATCGTAATGAGAATTTATTGTAGATATTGAGAAACATAAGGTAGCAATCATTGAAGGTAATGTGAAGCTTTTCACAGTTTTGGTTCACGACCTCAATGCCTCACTGGGATTAATTAAGGGTTACGTAGTTGAGTGCCATCTAACCTGTCTAACTGTTGTCAACGTTTTGAAACTAATCGAGACGGTTTCTAGATAGATTTGCTTTTTTTTGCGTCTTTTGACGGCAGTCAGCATCGGAATGTTTCAGAAATAATGGAAATTACTCTAGCTACACTTTCTGTAATGAATTTTTAATTAGTAATACAAATTATAATTGTATTATTAATTAAAAATATTAATTATTAAAAATTATAAAAAATGACTTATCAAGAGATAATATTACAAGCGCAAAGTATTTCCCTAGTAATATTGTAACACCGGGAAACATTGTTAGTGAACATGCAGTTGGCCATGTAATGATGTAGTTTGCGGAAGACAAGACAGAGAGAATGCCAGCTTATCGAGAGTAAGCACTGAGTCACCAGCTTGGCATCTGCACCCACACCCTCCTCGTCTAGCTTCATCTCCTTAGCATCTTGCAAGAATTCCTCCAGAAACTCCACATTAGGGCGTGAAATGGTGTGGTGGTGGTGGGTGCTTGGAGGTGTCTGGGTGAGGGAAGACATTGTGTGAGGTTAGAGCAGGAGGGAGCGATGTCATCTTGGAGTGTGAGGAGATATTATGTCAAGGTTCTTCCCTCCCTCGCTACATCAGCCACAACCTGGCCCCAGACCACATCGTTTATATGATTTATACTACTCCGGCAGGGAATTTTAGTAATATCTGTATGAAAGGTAACATTAAACTTTTTTGACTTTATTTGTTAGGAAGAATTATGCTATTCTGGGCGCCACTGAAAACCTGTCACATGTTTGGCTATATTGGGTTAAGCAAAGGTAAATTCTACACAATTTGCTCTACCTGAAATCATAAAGGTTTTGAATTGAGATTTAAATAAAAATTTACGGGATTAAATACTAGTTGGCATTTTCAAAGTACCTGCTGGCCAGGAGCGCATGCGCAATTGAAAGGCGCGTTTCTCCAATGCTATTCAGTATTTTATTACTTAAATAACACAACATAAACCCTTTAGCACATAGTTGACCAGCAGTCGGTAAAATACTCTACTGTTTCCCACTACAGAAATTTGAGGTTTAATATTAACTTCAAGATAGAGGTGGCACCCTCACTACCTCGACTGGGTATGGACGCCGTGACGTCACTCGTGTGTACGAACACTCAAATTCTCATCCCCACCCAGTTTTTTTTTTATATTCAGGCCCCACAATCAGCTTTTAATCTATGGCTTAAGTATTATATTTTTTTATTGTCCTCACAGTAATAGAGAAAATTTGTTGCGTAAATAATTAAGGTTGGGTAATTAGGATAATTTGCCCTGGCTTCTTGGGGTCTTTTAGGAGAACCTTATAAGGCAGACGTCCCAGCCAAGACTTTCTCTGTGGGATGTTGCAGAAGGATTTTTCACCTGTTCCTCTATGACTCAAACCTAATTACTGACGGGTTTAGTATCGTCAACTATTACACATTTTACATCTGTCCTATTGGGTGGCCACCACCACTTGCTACAATGGAATTTTAATCCGAAATAACTACATTGACAACTTCATTGACATTAAAATCCTACCTAGTATAATTATATATTTTATATTTGAAAATAATTGTACTACAGTATATTTCAAAATCCAGGAAGCTTCTCTTCAAGCTATAAGGTAACTTTTTTTTTTTTAATTGGTGCCTTCTATACCTCAGCCGGGTTTTTCATTGATCAGTCACCGATTACTTGTATTACCGTCATCTCTAAGACTTATCTAAAATTTTACTTATAAGTACGTTCAATCATGGTGTGTAAGTGATGCACGAGACAGATGGCTGGGCATAATATTGGTAATAAAGGTGGATAAAATGACAGGTGGGCTCCATCTGACAGACACCGCGGAAGGATTCGAACTTTTACTCATAACTTTGAGGTCAACCATCTTATATGGGCTTTATTTATCAGATTTGTCACACGTTTTCTACTCTGCGATTCACCTTATCCTAATGAAGCACTCATAGAGGGAAAGCAAGGGCAGTTTGTGGGTAAATAAGGACGATGTGCAGGTGGGTGTGGATGGTACTAGCTTGGTGAGCGGAGGTAGTAGAAGGTTGTGCGGCTGGTAGAGAGCAGGAGGAGAGTGAGTGAGCGAGTCAGTGTGATTGCTGAGTTAGGTCAAGTGACACGTATTTGTGAGTTCTGTGAAGATGACAACCATTGGCAAAGGAGCAGATCTGATGGAGGTCCTTAAAAAGAAAATGCGCCAGGCCAAGGAAGATACCGAGCGCCTTAAAGATGAAAACGAGGAAATATCCCGAAAACTGCAAATCGAGATTCAGAGACGTGAAGCCGTGAGTGTCTGAAACTCCCAGACAACTGATTTTTTGTTTTTAGTATTACTGGAAACTGCTGATGTCTGTTATCTCTCGACTTGCAAGAGTTACCGCCAGTTTTATACATGATCTCACTCTTACGAATGATAAAACCCAGGTTTAATGAAGTGTGTGAGAGAGGTTGAGTCGGCAAGGGGAGTGGGTGTGTTCCCCCGTTCAATATTACCACCACTACAACCACCATCACCGGTCTCTCTCCCCCCTCACCTCCCCTCTCCCCTCTCACCATCACTATCACCACCAGTCTCATCATCACCATTCCTACCCCACTCAAAGCTGGCTAACATACCTCCAGTTTTTTTTTTTAAATCCTCCGGACCTGTAC